CGTCTGCACGTCAATCTGTGCATCCGCCCATGCGTTCGTCCATGCATCCGCCCTTGCGTCCGTCCATGCGTCCATCCGTCCGTGCATCTGTATGTGTGCCCGTTCGTCTATCTAGTTAACACTGCCAAACAGGATTACCTCGAAGCCTCGGACACCAGCTTGCCGCGAGCCGGTGTCCGAGGTGCATTTTCGAGGGGGTCACGCTAATTTACACCAGTCTGGGGACAATTGTCTTTGCCTCCCCATAAATCAGCGTCTCACCATATCCCCCTCCCCCCCATCCCCCGGTCAGACATTGATTTTTCTCCCATGTGGCAACATTGGAAGGTTACAGGCCACCGCTAACCGCGCGTTGTTGCCGGTGACGTGCTGTGCCCATTTTTTCGATAGTATTTTGTAATTAGGTGCAGTTTTGGCGCAGAAAGGAGGAAATGTAGCAGGATGTAGCAGGTTTCCCGTCTTGGCGCAGTTTGGTGCAATTGACACAGTTATTGCATCACTGCCCCCGACATTAGATTCTTGAGCTCGTGCCACACCTTCCTAAAGCCGCAATACCTTCACAAGACAAGGCAAGTCAACTACACTGACCAGCAAAATAACGCAGGCCGCCGAATGACCGCCATGGCAGAAGGAGCAAGAGTAATGGCGCTCAGACCACCTCTTCCTTTTTCACTGCTGCTTCACGGCTAAGCATCCTGATATATGTGTGACTAGTTGGTGGCGCCACCTAGCGTGTGATATTAATTAAAAAACAATAGGGCAGAGGCAGGCCCTACGCAGTCACTTCACCGTCAGCAAAAACAGCTGTTGTGTGGTTACTCACCAGCTGTGTGCCGAAAAGATATAACATTGGTGACGAGATAAAAACTTTACTAACGGCAACATGCCGAAGTATGGTTCACTAGAATCATTCGACTCAGACAGTGGTCCCTGGCAAGAATACCTTGAATGAATGCAGCAATTCTTCGCGACGAACGACCTGCAGGACGACAAGCAACGCGCAGTGTTCCTCAGCAGCTGCGGGTCACGCACCTACTCTATTCTGTGCAGCCTTTATGCATGCAACAAGTCGACTGAAACTACTCTAGACGACTATTTGAAAACGCTGAGCAACCATTTTTCGCCAAAGCCATCAGTAGTGGTGAGTCGTTTCAAGTTCAATAGTCACGTTCGTGAAGAGGGCGAATCAGTTAGCATGTTCGTTACCGCCCTCGAGAAGCTCCTGGAGCATTGCGAGTTCGGCGCGCTTCTGAATGACCTACTGCGTGACCGCATCGTATGCAGCATAAGGAACCCGCAAGTGCTAACTCGCCTTCTCGAGGAGCCAAACTTCACACTTGAAACTGCCGTATCTACGGCTCTCGCCATGGAGTCCACCAAATGCGACGCGATTGGGCTTGGTGCAACGAAAGGAGCCGGGACCGGGAATGTAGATGCACTCATGACGTTTGACAGAAAGCACCTCAGTTGCTACCGATGCGGCGACGCCCACTATGCCACGGAGTGTCCGCACGTTAGCAAAGCTTGCAGCTACTGCGAGAAGTTGGGCCACCTAGCAAGAATGTGCCTGTCAAAAAACGCTGGCAGCAACCGTCGCACTTCCATGCATGAGTTGAAAAAGAATGCTAAAGAGCAAGTTCCAGTCCATGCTGTTGATGACCCACATCACAGTGTTACTCAATCAGTACGGCGTAGCTCACATTCGTCATCTGACGAGAAAACTGTATACAACATGTGGAAGTTGGTTCTAAGGTCCAATGCGTCTGCACCTAAGCCTTTCATGGTGCAGCTTCAAGTACAGGGGCGCCCATTTCAAATGGAACTCTACACTGGCGCGAGTGTGTCTATCACTGGAGAAGCAACTTGGCGCCGTCAAGTTCTATCACTGCCTCGTCAGCAATGCAACGTCCAGCTCAGAAGTTACTGTGTTGACATTAAACCCATCACAGGTAAGGTAACTGTATCTGCGAAGCACAACAACTACTTTTAGGTACTTCCCTTGCTTGTTGCTGAAGGTGATGCCCCATCACTTTTAGATAGGGATTGGATTGAAGGACTGAAAATACCCATCTACAATATAACCAATGTCTGCTCATTGAGCCATGTCGAGCAGATAATTGACCAGCACCCAAGGCTGTTTTCGAATGGCCCAGGCATGTTTCTTGGTGTGTCTGTTAAACTGGCAGTTAATGAGGCAGCAAAGCCACATTTCTTCAAGGCCCATACAGTTTTTCTTGCACTCATGGACAAGGTGTGTGAATAACTTTTGAGGCTCCTGCGAGAAGACATCCTAGAGCCAGTCATCTGAATGGGCATCTTCATCTGAATGGGCAGCACCAATTGTCCTGATGTTAAAAAAAAGATGGTGGCTTGCGCATTTGTGGAGATTAAAATGTTACGGTCAATCCGGTTGCCATAGTTGACAAGTACCCCACTCCCAAGGCTGAAGAGCTGTGGGCCAAACTTTCAGGAGGAGTCAAGTTCACTAAACTTGATCTCAAGGATGCTTACCAGCAGTTAGTTTTGGAGCCCTCCTCAAGAACGCTCACTACAATCAACACACCGAAGGGTTTGTTCCAATACAAGAGGCTACCATTTGGGATTTTAGCAGCACCTTCGATTTTCCAGCGAGAGATTGAGACTCTCCTGCAGGGTTTGCGTCACGTAGTGGCATACTTCCATGACATCTTAGTGACGGGTACGGATGACAAGGACCACATCAGCAATCTAAAAAAAGGTTTTCCAGTGAATGTAAGAAAGAGGACTCAAGCTGAAATCCAGCAAATGTAAATTTATGATGAACAGGATGGAGTACCTCTGACACATCATTGGTGCTGATGGATTACATCCGACAGCACACAAGGTTGAAGGAGTCATCAAAGCTCCTCTCCCAGGCAATGTCAAAGAGTTGCAGAGCTTCCTAGGGTTGGTTAACTAGTACATAAGGTTCATGCCCAACCCTTCTGCTGTTTTTCATCCTTAGCACAAATTCTGTCAGCTGGAGTGCCCTGGTGCTCGCAAAAAGAACATGAGGATGCAGTTGCTGAAGCCAAGCGACTTCTCACTTCAGCACCAGTCCTAGGACATTATGATCCTTAGCAGGAACTCGTACCTGCTTGTGAAGCCGCCCCTTTTGGGCTTGGAGCTGTACTGTCCCAGCGTGACTCTCATGGCATAGAGCGTCCCATGGCATAGAGTGTCCCATTGCATTTGCATCCAGGAGCCTACAGCCAGCTGAAAATAACTATTGCCAAATGGACTGTGAGGCACTTGCACTGATTTTTGGCGTAACTAGATTCGGGCAGTACCTGTGGGGGAGACATTTTGAAGCTGTCACGAACCACAGGCTTTTGTTCGCACTGTTTGGCCACGACAAAACCATTCCTGACCCCAGCTCCCTGCGAGTCATATGATGGGCTTTTCTGTTGTTCGGCTTACAATTGCACCCTGGTCTATCGCCCATGACAAACCATTAGCCAGGCAGATGAACTGAGCCGGTTATTATAAGAAACTAAAGGTTTCCCTGTGGAGGCCCCCAGCAGATGTGTTTATAGTGGAAGGCAAATATCCAGAAGTTTTGTCATCTGCAGCTATCGCTCAGGCAACTAGCAAAGATTCCATTTTGTCAAGGATTCGTGACACCTTGTTTTATGATGGTGATCTCCCCCAAGGCAGAGAATAGAACCTATACAGGACTCGAGAAAATGAGCTCAGTCTGCAGGACAGCTCTCTTCTTTGGGGAACGAGGGTGATAATTCCCATGACACCATAGTTACTTCATGAGGGTCACCCAGGTATCGAGAAAATGAAAGCCGTTGCCCGAAGCCATGTGTGGTGGCCTGATATAGACGAGGACGTCACGCACAAAGTAAAATCCTGTGTTGTATGCAAAGAGTACCAGCATGTGTGCCGGCCAGTGCAGTCGACACCGTGGCCATTTCCAGAAAGGCGATGGTCGCACCTACATGTCAATTTTGGAGGCCCATTTAAGAGACATTACTTTCTAGTCATTGTAGACGCCTACTCAAAGTGGGTTGAGGTAATTCCTGTGACATCACCATCTTCTGATGCCACAATAAGCAGTCTAAAAACAGTTTTTGCTGCTCACTGGTGCTAAATTTCAGTAGTTTTTGGAAAGAAACCCAAGTAGAGGCATCAGAGTGCCACCCTACCATCCTGCATCAAATGGTGCAGCTGAACGTGTTGTTCAGCTGGTAAAAAACAATCTAAAAAGTCAACAGCTGGTGATTTCCTGACCCAGATTAACCAAATGCTATTCCAGTACAGGACAACACAACACAGCCTCACTGGAAGGACCCTGGCAGAGCTACTTATGGGCAGGACCCTTCGAACACCACTCAAGGCTTTGTGTCCTGATGCTCGGAGTAATGTAGTGTTGAAGCAGTTGAAGCAGAAACTACATCAGGATAAGAGTGCAGGTCAAGCTCTGTTGCCACAACCAGGATTATACATTCTTGTTAACAACTCAAGACTGGGCCTCTCATGGCTACCAGCTACTGTTATTACTTCCACTAGCTCATCGCTCGTGCAACTGGAACTTTCTGATGGGTTTAGCAGCAATCCTCATAGTGATCACATCAGACCAGATGACCGTATTCAGCCTCCTTATTCTGGTTCACCTGGAATAATGCACGCAGGACAGCCATTACTTGATGCAGAAACTCCAGTTAATGCTGAAGCGACGCCAGTGTCCATGGCACCTCAACCTGCACCACTGACACCTCAAACCAATGCTGTCTCACCAACACTCCGCAGATCTCAACGAGTGAAGATCCAGTGTGTCGATACTCTCCCCTAGAAGCTGTCTGGTGTGGGGAGGTGTTATGTGTGACTAGTTGGCAGCGCCACCTAGCGTGTGATTATAAATAAAGGACAATAGGGCAGAGGCGGGCCCTATGCAGTCAGTTCACTGCCAGCAATAAGAGCTGTAATGTCGTTACTCATCAGCTATGCGCCGATAAGATATAACACAGCCTCACCTTGCTCAAGTGGCCCACTGCGGTGGCACAGCAGCGCCGCACGGTGGCATTTCGGTCACTCAGGCCACGAACGAAAGCTCGAAGCAGCTTGCCTGCAGTTTATCCAGCAATGTGTAAGTAGTGCAGTGCACAAAGCAATGATTACACGTATGCTTTCACATATCCCTGTGTACAGATGCTGTTTGGGCAATTCGTTTGTAGAACAGGCTGCTTGGCTAGTTGGTCTTTCATCTCAAAGAGAGATGTGGGTGTTGCAAGTTTTCTTTATTGGTTGAGTTAGACAAATGAAATTTAATCTACCTATATAGTTATCTCTGCCAATTCAAAAACTTGAAATACGTTTTTATAAGCTGCACCAGAACAAGAGATATGCACTTTCTGAAGGCATATTTATTATAGTGCTTTTTGACACCTTCACTTTGTTTTATCACAAAAAAACAAAGCATGTGGTAAGACTGCTGCTGACGCTGGTTTGATAGTTTTCAAACTTCTAAATTGAAGCGAACTTCGAATGCAAAATAAAAATATGTGAATGTGAGTGAGAAAACTTTGCATAACGAGCAATGAACAGTTTGTACTGCTCTCAAATTCCACCACACACAAAAAAAAAATGAGAAAGCCCTCTGTTTACAGAACAATAACTGAAAACACAAGGTAATGTTCGTCAAAAGCATGAAAAATGCTGCACATATTGACCAAGAAACTGTAGAAGTTACCACCTATCTCACTGTGAACTTCCCCAACAATCAACTGTAAAAAGGTGTACCAATTTATTCCAAGCATGTCAAGAGCACTACGAAGCACTGTGATGCTGCTGGAAATACTAGATGACACTCCCAACCTTCCAGTCTCGAACATCAAAGGCAACTATTTAGCAACATCATTTATGACCTATGAATATGGCCTCTGCAGTGGGTTTAAAATATGCTGATAATAAAGATGCACTATGAAATGGCTTGTGGCTACTCAAACAATGACCATGCATTTAAATAGATATTTCTTGGGTAAGCATAAGATAAGCTTATATACCTGCACTTGCAACAAACCAAATGCCTCTCATAATTGCTATGTTATAAAAAGCTATACTGCTTGCCATGATACACGCAGAGAAGCTAGGCAAAGCTTGAAAAACCAAAAGAAACTGGACTATGACCAAGTCGGCTGGAGCACACTTCAAAAGCAGAAATGTGCAAAAGCTTTGCAAGTGCAGCTTTTTTCATATGGCCAAGGAAAATTGTCCGCCCATGTAGTTTACACGGAAACTCCGATCTTTTCAAATGCCCAAACTCCCTCATTTGGGCATCATTTTGACTGTGTTCACTGCCTGCAATGAAGAGCTGAAAACAACCACCTTCCTCAAATGCAACTGTGCGTTCCAACCTGGCTTGTGACACAAAAGACATTGCGCATCTTTCTTTCTGCCCATTGCTGTAGTAACCCACCGAATAGGTAAAAAGAGCATGCAAAATATGTAGCAATTCAAGAAGCATTGTCTTCACTTGTTTTCTTGTGTGTGTTTTAGTATTTATTGCAATATTCCTTAACTATGGTAGATCAAACCACCCAACAAACTTACAAGCTAAAACACGCCGATAGTGGTTATACTTTAGTAACAAAAATTCTGTAATCAAAGAACCTTAGCAAGTCAATTATGAAATTATGGCATCAGCTCCACAATCTTACACTCTTGAGCGGTTATAATTTTCTGAAATTTATTCCAGCTATTCAATAGAGAGCTGTTGTTTAGAGTTGGGAAGGTATTACAGTCGAACCCCGCTGCAACGAAACTGACAGGGCGCGGGAAAAAATTCGTTGAAGGGAAAATTTTGTTGTAATGAAATCGAAAAAAATACAGCTGGTCTGAGCTAGCAAAACAAAGGATCGTCTATTCTCGAAATTCAAAAAAATGTCCGCTGCTTCCTATTCTTTCCCAGCAGCGTCACAACGTGATTCTCACCCATGCATAGCGAGACCATGGTGAAAAGCATGCAGAAACAACGCCTCAAGCCGCTTTCGCGAACGAACCAAACAGCGGCATTAACACGTCAACACTAACAGCTGTCCGCCATCAAAAGTATCTGACAACGCAGAGATGGAGGCATGGTATCGTGGAGCGGCGACTTTTGCATTATTCTATGCCATTATTATCATTCATCACTCACGGCTAACTGATTTTGTTGATAATGCAGACGAACAGCCGCTCTGATTAGTTAGCACACTGGCCAAGCGCGAACATAATGATAAGCATCGGAATCGGAAAAGGCATCGTGTCGCGATTGGACTCAGCAGCTGCAAGAAGGAAACCATGACTGAGTTCCAGCTTTGGATTGTCTGCGGCTCAAAAGCAAGCCAGTAACAAAACAAAAGCAGGGAAGTCTCATTACCATCGCTATCGAGCAATGGCAGCACCCAAGTTTGCTGAACAGCGGCGGTTTTTGGTGGTGCCAACCATAGAGTTTCTCACAATCACACCTAGAGGGAAATCTGGCGCTAGTGAGCTGCTGGATGCAAGGGTATGACGGGATATGTGAGCTTCGAACTTGACTCGGATTTGTATACCTCGAAGACGCGTTTGGGTTCACGTTGAAATGGTTGATTTCTTACTAAAGAAGCATGTAATAAGCTATTTATTTTTGTCATTGCACGCAAACGTGTTTTATTTAACACTAGAACCTTCTACGTTGATGTACAATTTTACGAAGCGTAAGAAGAAACCAATGGTTGCTAAACTAGGCAGGCAGACGACAAAGCGAGCGTTCCCTCTGCAACTTTTATGTCGTCTGTTTCTTTCCTTTGCCATTTGGTTGTGCCGTCAAGGTCAGTGGACTTTTATTTTAAAATATAATACGCATGAATGAGATCCGCTTTTAAACGTTTTGTTTTGGAGAAGCTTTATTAACGCAGTCGTATTCGCTTTTGAGTCGAAGCCTTGCTCAACACCAGCCAACACAAGCCTCACAGACACATATAACGTCATTCCCAGTGCTCCAACATCGCCCCTTAAGAAATTCACATAGACGGTGGCACCCCACTTCCCTCTAGGTATTTGTGAAAAACTTGATGCCAACGCGTGTTTTAGACTTCGTTAACACATTTTTAAGCTCTGAAAATGCATCGAAATGTTAAAGATTGCATTTACTGCGAAGCAACAAGCATCTGAGCCTTGAATTGCATTGTAAAATTTCGTTGAAGCAGGACGATTGAAGAAAAAGTGTTTGTTGTGGCGACAATATTCATGCAGTTACTTTTATGGACGGCTGACAGGGCATTGTGAATTTTTTGTTGTAGCGGAAATTTCGTTGAAGCCGCGTTCGTTGTGGCAAAGTTCGACTGTATTTCTCAAAATATGATTTCCAAAGGTTCGCCACATCGATAATGTGTGGAGGTGACTTTTTCAGTCAGTTTTCTGACACAGCTTTGGTGTCACTTCTATTATTATATTCGTCACATGCTCGCATCCAATATCACTTGTCCCTGTCATGATTTCCTCGTAACTCGCGCTAGGGTGCACACTTACTCCGCTCAGAACTTTCTTGCAACATGTGGGGGAGCACGTGGGCTCAGCCAGCCTTTCCCTTTTACGGCAGCGTGAAGCCTAGTTGCGGGGACATGAATGTCCCTTCAAGACACGAGTCAATAAAGCCTCTTGCGAAGGGATGGAACACTCCCGCAGCCGGAGCTCGCGAATCCCCTTTCCTAGCGCACGGAATGGGTGACCTCTCCCTCAACGAGGGAATGTATACGTGCTATGAAAGGGAAACCTGGACGATAAAGAAAATCAGCGTGCCGAAAAGCGCACGGTTTCTCTGATACTGGTGACGAAAGAAGAAGGTCGAACCCGGAACCCCCTTTGAGCAAAGGATGACAGTGACTGAAGTGTAAGCGTCTACACTTTTGTTATCTGAAGTCTCTAAGCGATATTGACGTGCTATTGCTAATACAGAGCAATAAAGCGTTGTTTGTTGACCTAGCCTGTTGCCTAAAATATTCACCCGAACCCATGTAGCTGCGATGATTCAAGCTACGGATAGGGGACGTTGATCGTGCACAGTGCAACTGTGTGCGGCTGGAACATTAGCTAGGCCTCTGCGTCAGCCAAACATAGGATAGACCCTCTACATCTGGCGCCCAATGCAAACGAATTTGGCAACGCTGCTAGTCTTGTGGATGCGAGCGACTATAACGCTCCTCCAAATGTAGAACAAGAGGCATGTAGAACAAGAGGCAATTGCAGGAATAGGCGCGAGTATACGAGGAGCTCAACATGGGTGACAGTGCAGATAGCTTTGACTATCAGCACTGTCCTTTGCCACCAGAAGAAATCTTTCTGTGCAGAATCACCAGCACTCACTTTCCATTCCCGATATCCATGATGTCATGATGTGCTTATAAAAAAAAGCCTGCACCAGTTCTTTGGCAGTGGGCACAGGGAATTGTGAACAAAACAAGTGAACTCGAGGGCCTCCTTTTTAGCCACGATCCCCATATCATGATAATAACGGAAACATGGCTGCATGATGACGTGCCAGACGAAGTAATAGTTGACAAATCTCATCATATTTTTTCGTCACGATCGTACGTCATTTAGAGATGGCATCGCTGTTATATTAATAAACACATTATCAGCTACATTACTACCTCAGTTAGAAAACCATGAAAGTCTTTTTTCAACTTCCTCAGTCCCAAGAATGCACCAATGAAAAAAGCTTTTGCGAAACTGTGTTTTACTGTGTTTTTATTTGCCTCCCTGCCCTAAAAAGAAACGAAAAAAAAAATGAATTCAAGAAATTGAACAGTTGTCTCAAAATGTGATGGTGCTTATTTGTGTACTCCTGAACTTTTGATGTCTTTGAGATTCAGTGCAACAAAAATATCAGACCGAAATGACTTTCAATATTGTCGATAAGGTGTCCCGAGTTAAAAGAATCCACTACAGATGATGTCGTTCACACTGTAACTAAGAAAAATAGCATTCATTGATCACAAGGACGCAGCCAAATGCTTGTGCAGTTTGCATCCGAGCGCTCGTGCAGTACTCGGTCATTTTCGTTCGCTCGTTTTGCGAATATGACTAGACACACGGCACCACATT